AGTAAAAAAGGAAAAAAAATTTTCCGTTAATTAACATGCCACGTAAGCCAAAATTTAACGGAGGGACCAAAAAGGGGCCAGATTTGTGAACAGTAAGGATCAAAAAGGGGATTTTTTCGGTACAAGGACTAAAAAGGGGCTTTTTCCTATAGTAGAGGGACCAAAAAGGGTATTTAACCTTCTAGTTAAGTTAACGTGCCACGTGAGCAAAAATTAACGGAAGGACCAAAAAGGGGATTTTTTCGGTATAGGGACCAAAAAGGGGCTTTTTCCTATAGTAAAGGGATCAAAAAGGGTATTTAACCTTTCCTTTTCCGTTGCGTTGTTTTTTTTTTTTTTCCCTCTCTCCCTCCCTATCTCTCTCCGCCCTTTCCGTCCTAAGTGTGTCTTGCACCCTTTTCCCATTCTACCACCGGTGCCCCGCCTTTTAATTCCCTCAATTGAGTTCTCTCCGTGATTTTCTACTAGTAAAGCTCGCCGAAATTTCTTGGGAAACAAAATAGCTGGTCCCGTAAGGTGGGAGATGCTAGTTCGGCTGCTTAGCACTTGGATCACTGTGCCACATATTCGCCCTTGAACCTCCACCTGAGGCATCAAAGCTTACCCCTGAACTTCAAGTCGTGGCATTGGCTTCTACGTCCCTTCGTAGGTTCGGCGATGGCGTGGCTAACTGTCCTGCCCATAAATTTGTTTTGTCCAATTCTGAACTACGAGCATTGAACACGGAGCATCAAACACTATGTGGAGGAGATATGGAAATTCGAATGGCTTGCGTGGCAGGCTTGCTCCGCCTCTAGGAGAGCCACGTCGGCATTTTCGCGCCTCAAGAATCCACCCACCCTCGCTGGCGGCTTAGGCGCCTTCCCAAGGCCTAGGGACGGGTTAGGCACGAATCAGAAAGCCAAGGGATGAATCTTCATCTTTTAACCATCCTGTAACGCCGTTAAATTGTCAGGATCGAATCGGCAATGGTTCTGTTCGCCCTGTCCAGGACCCCACGTCGCTGACGTGGGTATGATACACATCAGGTGCGCGTCCACTGACGGGCGCGATCGTGCCAGCGCTAACACGTGCCGGATCCCGTCGGAACCCCGCGGTTAAGCGGGCTTGGAGGGGAGCAATACCAAGATGGGTGACCGCTCGGGAAGTCCTTGTGTTGCACCCCTCCCCTTTCATCTCTTCTTCCTTCTCCCATCCACTCTACTTGTGATTTCCTTTCCTTGCAGTTGTGGGAAGTGCAAAAAGGACCGGTACCGTTTTCGTTTGCCTGCTCCGGACGCCGAGTCGCCACCGCCGACACATATCGACACTTTCCGCATGTCCACTGATGGGTGCGATCATACCAGCAGTAATGCACCGGATCCCATCAGAACTCTGTAGTTAAGCGTGCTTGGGCGAGAGTAGTACTAGGATGGGTGACCTCTTGGGAAGTCCTCGTGTTGCACCCTTCTCCCTCTTTTGTTTCTTGTTGTTAACCCCATCCCTTCTGCTCGCGATCTCTTTTCCTCCCAGTAACGCCTTCGAAGCTGGTAGTGCGAACAGATCGATACCGTCTTCATTTGCCTGCTCCAGGTCACCGACGCATATCTACATTTTTCGTGCGCCCATCGACTGCTACAATCATACTAGTACTAATGCACCGAATCCCATCAGAACTCTGTAGTTAAGTGTGCTTGGGCGAGAGTAGTACTAGGATGGTTGACCTCTTGGGAAGTCCTCTGTTTCACCCCTCTTTTTCCTTTTTCCTTTTTCCTTTTTTGTTGTGTTTTTTTTTTTTCCCTCTCTCCCTCCCTATCTCTCTCCGCTTTTTCCGTCCTGAGTGTGTCTTGCACCCTTTTCCCGTTCTACCGCCGGAACTCCATCTTTTAATTCCTTTAATTGAATTCTCTCCGTGATTTTCTGCCGATAAAGCTCGCCAAAATTTCTCAGGAAACAAAATTGCTGGTCCTGTAAGGTTGGGGATGCTAGTTCGGCTGCTTAACCCTTGGATCACTATGCCACATATTCGCCCTTGAACCTCCACCGAAGGCGTCAAAGATTACCTCTGAACTTCAAGTCGTGGCATCGGCTTCTCCGTCCCTTCGCAGGTTCGGCGATGGCATGGCCGATTGTCTTGCCCAGAAATTCATTATGTCTGGTTCTGAACTACGAACATTGAACACCGAGCATCGAACACTGCGTGGAGGAGAGATGGAAATTCGAATGGCTTGCGCGGCTGTCTTGCTCTTCCTCTGGGAGAGCCGTGTCAGCATTTTCGCACCTCAAGAATCGACCCACCCAGGTTGGCAGCTTCGGTGCCTTCCCGAGGCCTAAGGACGGGTCAGGCACTAGTCAAAAAGCTGAAGGACGTTAACCTTGTCTTTTAACCATCCCGTAACGCCAGCGAATTGTCGAGATCGAATCGGCAACAATTCTGTTTGCCTTGTCTAGTGCCCCACGTCGCCAACGTGGGTGTGATATACATCAGGTGCGCATTCACTGACAGGCGCAATCGTGCCGGCGCTAACAAGTGCCGGATCCCATCAGAACCTCGTAGTTAAGTGTGCTTAGATGGGAGCAGTTCCAGAATGGGTGACCACCCAGGAGGTTCTTGTGTTGCACCCCTCCCCTTTCGTCTCTTCTTCCTTTTCCCACCCACTCTACTCGCGATTTCTTTTCGTCGCAGTAGCAAGAAGTGCAAAAAGGACCGGTACCGTTTTCGTTTGCTTGCTCCGGCTGCCGAGCCGCAGATGCATATCTACACTTTTCGTACGTCCATTGACGGGTGCGATCATACCAGCACTAATGCATCAAATCCCATTAGAACTCCATAGTTAAGCATGCTTGGGCGAGAGTAGTACTAGGATAGGTGACCTCTTGGGAAGTCCTCGTGTTGCACTCCTTTTTTTCTTTTTTCTTTTTTTTTTTTTCTCTCTTTACGCTTTCCGTCCTGAGTGTGTCTTGCACCGTTTTCCCATTCTACGACTAGTGCTCCACCTTTTAATTCTCTCAATTG